CTACCTTCTCGCTTCCTACATTCTGATACATGATCCAATCCACTAGTATCAGGAGTATCAGTGGTGATAGTAGGCAGCCTTATCTAACTCCTGTCTTCACTTCAAATTTTTCTCTGAGTTTTCCGTTGCAGTTCACTTGATATGTGGAATTGTCATTTATCTGTTAAATGAGGCTACATAGTTTTTTAATTTCTCCCCATCCCCGTAGCCAATTTTGATATATCCGTTAATACACTCGGTAGCTGCACTAATGAATCTCCTATCTAGTCGATTCTGTTATTCTAACCACTATTAGCAACAACGAGACGACACGGTACCACTGAAAACGCGACCCAGGAAGAGAAGACTGACTGTCGACTTGGTAAACCTTTGCTTTCTCGTATCATTAGTGAAAATGTTTTTATCTCTTGAGTATATATACGCTTTAAATGACCATGACAGACACTAATTACATTGATAAATTAAAACAGTCAATAATTAACAGGATTTCAAAGGTCACAAAAAGGAGTGAAGGAAATAAAACCAGACATGCAAAAGTTCGTGGAGAAAGTCAGTTCTATATATCAAAATAACCCTTTGACGACCCACTTGTCGCTTCATATTCGGGTTTCACTTCGAGCGATGATATCGCCCACGATATCATTCGACTACCTCCTCAGTGTATGACCTGTCCATCTCTATTGAGTTTTATATAGTTAATTCCAATTATTTCACACAGATTAAGACTGCTGAATCTATAAACCTCAACTAGCCAGTATTATATCTCGAAAAGATTGGAGGTTGAACATGAGTCAAGCAACCTCACTTCAGAATACAAAGCACCACTGGTTACTGAAATTACAAAGCTTGAAGCCATATGTTCCTCTGGGAACCAATAGGATGCATAAATAATGATAGTAGAGTATGCCGAAAAAATTAAAAATATTTGCAGGGGTTTGGAAAAACACACAAAATGGTTTCTTTTTGTTTCATAAAATCTTACTACTTTTCAATTTTCAGTAGTGTAAATTTAATATATCAACTTTGGGATGAGTTCAGTAGGCATAACATGAATGGGATGTATCATGGGATAGTATGAAAGAGCATGGAGACAAGTGTCTAAAAGAAATTATGTCACAAGTAGAAAGAGTAAATAAAGGGTTGATTAAGAAAAAATGTCACTAAAAAGTGATACAAAAATTCAAAAAAGCACACACAAAGTAGCAGATCTTGGAATTTTACTCTGGGTAGAATAATGGGATGGAGAAGTTTCTTCTGTGTACATAAACTGGAGATTTCTATCCGAATCTCTAAGGTCTTGACAATGCAAAGTATGCGGAATCTTACCATTGTCAACGAAAGGCTTCTTTTGACTTTGTAGACAACTTTGAATAAATTCTCCTTACATATTGGGTGACTAGTGTTGAATATTGTACAGTTAAATGAATGAATTCGCCGAAAAGAGACTCTCCTTCTTATATTCTTGTCTGGATGGGTAGTATTGATTTGTCGTCTACGACACAATAAACAATTTTCTCCGATTATTTATCATAGACATTGATTCCCTATCCAATTCTTCAATCTGTCCCCTGTCAGCTCGACTTCCTTCTTGCTTATTGTTTCCTGTTAGCCGGCCATCAGCTCTCCAGCGTTGAACTAGCGGCAATGATGAAAGTCTGCGGAATGTTGGGAATGATTTCAGTGACGCACGCATCAATTCCTTGAATCATACTGAGGCACTGAATTGACATTAGTGTTGGAAAGTCAGGCCCTGTTGTTTGTACTGAGTACTGTAAATATCCATAATGTTTTCAAAGTGACGAATGTCTCGCTCTCTTTTTTGACACCGATCCTGGCCATCTTGTGGATAAGAACACAAGATTGATTTCAACCGGGCTTTCAGAGTCATTTACCGCATACCTACAAATCCTTAAGAGTTCGATTACTAAATATTGCTGAGGCTGTTGGGATCCACATTAAGAAGCCTAATTTGTGCATCCAAAAGAAGTTAGTTCATATATTATCCTTACCTTGGCCATTTAGGTTTGAATGATCCTCAATTTTTTGTAGAAATTTCCCTAATTTTAGTTGATATTCTATTTGCTATCATTTCTTTATTATTATTTTTCGATGGAGAAAGAAAGACCAGATTTCCAGTATAAAATGATAGCATCATTCTATTTCACAGGTTCTCATCAGCTAACTGCAAACCACTACATGAAATTACAATGGTTATAAATAATAGCACTTCATACTTCAATGTTTGAAAGGTAAGAATGAAAAAATTATAAGACGAACGCATCGGAATGTAAGTATTACAATTATTTTTAGTTTAAGTTACCGTCAATTTATATGCTATCAAACTATGAAAAAAAACGGGGCTGAGGGAAGACAGAAAACAAAAAGAATCTAATAGACACTGTTAGCTTTTACGTCAACATGGCAACTCAAGAAGGTTAAAGTTCATCAAATTCAAAACTTGCTTAGTGAGTTGAGCTCACTAGTGTGTACGACTAATCAATGTAATGAAAGTGATACGGTTAGTTATCAAGGGAGTGAGAGATTGACTACACTCTCTCTGTCTGTGTGCATAAGTTTGGTCTGAGACGTTTGATTGCAATTGCTTCAGCAAATCGTAGTAGATTCGCTATCCTTTGTATGTTTAATATTTTGAAGGATTTGGAAATCTCGACAAAATGACCCGTATCCACAAGGTGTCTGGTAAATACACTTCGTAAATATCTGCTTCCTTTTAAGCATAAGTTTCTCTGAATATGCTGTGAAAGCCGGATAGAAGCCCTTCTTCCTGTCCTTATTATTATAATTTAAGCGTCTTTAATGAGCTGTAATTCCATTGTGATCTTACTTTACAAATCGATATTATTTAAAAAACACTAATATTGTTATTGACTACTATTCTAGAATATTCTGTGTATATAAATATATAAACGTAATTGTAGAGCCATAAGAGGAAATTATCGAGAAGGATATTCTTTGCTCAATTATTTTGCGTTTTGTAGATTTTTGGATGAATATTTTCGCTACGTTAAAAATTTTCATCAATCCATGTTAGCGCTTGTATTTAAAACGATATTGCCTTGATTAGACGAATGGAAGATACGACTTTCTTGGGCTTTCTTTCATTGATACTGACTGGTGCTTGTTGTTTTTTGGTGCATATCTTCATCATCACCTCTGTCCTTCCCATTTTCTGTCTGACTGGTTAACTGCTTACAAAATAGAACTTTGCACAGATGTTCAGCAGTTCAAGTTGTTAAACTCCATGTTGCACACAAAGCAGGAGAAGAGAGTAGACAGATATAATTAACGCAAGTGTGAGTAAGGGAAAAAGAATATTAATATGGAAGAACAATAGAATTTTATTGGATACGAGAACTCACAAAAGGCGTATGCATCTGTACCAGCCATTGAGGACTATCACTTTGAGCCAAATCAACAACTGTCTCCAGTCGTCGTTGGTTTTTACAATCCGGAAGACATCAACCAGTCAGTCAAGAAGTCTAAACCTCCCTACGTGGCGTGATTAAACTTACTGTTATGGATTTCATTGACTGATGAAGCCATATTTTGTTTTGACCATGACTGACTGCTTTCCAACCTGATCCATCCCATGTCAGTCAGCTAACATTGCCCATCGAGGAAAACTTTCTATGTCCACTCGAATTACAGTCTTGACTTCCTCTTCTGATGACTTGTCAGTCTTCGCTTGTATATCAGAGAGTTTGTTCGACGTGGGATAAAAGTCATCCACGACTGTTCATTTTCTGGAAGTCTTTTTCCAATCCAATGAATGCCTGTCCACAACAGGATCCAATTCATCAGAGTCAACGAGAACATGAATTAACTTTTATTGAAATATCACTCTACCCTTTACTATTCACATAATTAAAGGTTTGGAGTAGGTTTCTTTAGATCACATTTCTCACCACAAATAATGAAAGTATCATCGATGTATCTCTTGTAGAGGTGGAGTGTGACGATAGTTGGTGATAAGGAGTTGATATCAAGGAACTTAACCCTAAGTTCCTATTATCCACGAAAATGCTTGAACCGACAATTACTGAGTACAATATTGACCTTAATTCCAAAACACAAGGACCAGGAAGAAATTGTATTGTTCGGCAGTTAAAGTCAATACTCTATACAAAGTCTAAAAACAAATGTTTTACAAGGAATGTATTGTATTTTTATTCGTATTCTTTCGTCTTCTTCCAACTTGTACACGACTGAATCATTCGCGCCTTCGAGTTGCCCGCCAATGGCGACCAAGGCCAATGAACCAACATTCAATGTTCACATTCATTTACAGTTCTTTTGTAGGCTAGCCATAATGCAGTTGGCCAAAAGGCGTCCTAGAGGAGAACCCATTGGTACTCCATCTGTCTGCCTGTACATTTCGTTGCTCAAACTGAAGTAGACGTCCTGCAACGCCGCGCATGTACGGGTGACCCACAGTTTACAAACAAGACGTCCCACTCCGCCCAATACCAGATATGATAAAGTCTCCATACAACTCAATTGCAAAATGCCTGGTAAAAATGCTTGGGCTGGTGAAAGAAAAGCTGTCAAGATACAACCTCCGGGACATATTTGATTTTGTTAATTCAATTAGGAATGTCAGTTTGGCAGATACGAAAATGGTCTGCCTGGATATCATTTCTCTCTTCAGCAACATCCCCCTGACAGAAACTATATCCTCCCTTTGTGAATTCATTCAGTCCAATAGCATCGATGTCGGTATACTTATCCATTATCGAAAAGAGCCGTTATTACGATGCACCTTCAACGTCTACTTTAGTTTCAACAACGAAACATACAGGCAAACAGATGGAGTAGCAATAGGTTCTCCTCTAGGACGTCTCTTGGCCGTCTACTTCATGGCTAGTCTAGAAAACAGCTCCTTATCATCAACTATCGACGAGCTCCACTTCTACAAGAGATACATCGATAAATAATTTACCTTACGTTCACTGTTTTCTGTCTCTTTCCACCTTTTTTAGTAATTACTGATCTGTATTGTCGAATGGATTCGGAATGTGCTCATATTTCTGGAAGTATTTGTCATCCAGGTGTTGGTGCCTGTGTTTGTCCAAGTGGTTATGAATTTGTACTACAACAGTTTGCTTGTTGTAAGTTCATCATTTTTGTATGATAAACTTTTATTCTTTGGAAAGTAATCGATACTTTTGTATCAGTCAGTCACTGATGATCTGACCGGTTATACTGTAATGCGAGAAGGCAAGAGACTTGATAATGGACTATTTTTATTGAGGGACTAGCTTCTTTTGCACACATCAACTAGGTTTCTTAATGTGGATCCCAACAGCCTCAGTAATATTTAGTAATCGAACCCTTAAGGCGAATTTGAGGTTTGTTGGTATGCGGTAAATGACTTTGGAAGCCTCGTTGACATCAATCTTGTATTCTGTATCCACAAGATGAGATAGAATAGCACTACGAATAGATTTTGTTTATCCTTTACTTAACCACTTTGCAGGATGATGTTCAGAAATTCGACGAGAAACACGACTAATTGTACGGTCTATGTATCTGGCTCCACAGGAGCAGTTAAATTGTTAGACACACATGAAAGAGGCTAAATAAAATTGCTTCTCTTGGGATCCACATTAAGAAGCCCAATTCGTGCATCCAAAAGAAGTTAGTTCAGACATTATCCTAACCTTGGCCATCTAGGTTTGAATGATCCAGAATTTTGTGGAATTTTCCTAATTTCAGTTGATATTCTATTTACTATTATATTATTATTATTTGAGCATCTTTAATGAACTGTGGTAATTCCACTGTGATCTTACTTAACAAATCGATATTATTTAAAAAACACTAATATTGTTATTGACTACTATTCTAGAATATTCTATGTATATAAACATATCTGTGAATGTAATTGCAGAGCCAGAAGAGGAAATTATCGCAAAGGATATTCTTTGCTCAAATATTTTGTGTTTTACAGTTATAATTATTATTATTTAATCCAACCTAAAAAGAAAGGAGATTAAAAGTGATCATAATTTTCAACTTGATATGAAGGTGTTTCAAGGTATGAGTGGATACTGATCACAAAGGAGTATGGAAACAAAATAACACACAGGATTAAAAGCTTGTTGTTTTGTGCAGAAATCGGAGTATGCTGCTTACTGAATGCATGAGATGTATGCGCACTTCGGTCCATTTAATCGACAGAAAATTCTAAAACTCAATTAAATAATTAATGTGACCCGTTGCACAAGAGGTGGCTGACTGTCGTGGCCCAAGTGGTCTGGTGGATAACACTTTGGCGTTTGAAACTATGGGCACTGGGTTCGAGCCTCTGTGGGAACATCATCACTCACTCACTGGGGAATGCAGGTACATCCAGCTGGAGAACGAGTCCCAAATAGGACGAAATGTGCATCCTGACTGGATTCCACTGCTAGTCACCACCCAGTAAAGGTTCCATGAGTTTATTTAGCCTGCTGAGTGCCTGTCTTTGACTGATGTTTAGGAGATTTTCTATAATACTTAGTCGAAAAGACATTTATAGGAACCTGAGTGACAGTGAATTCACGTGGTGGGTGAGTAGAACAATATCGATATGGTTCCTGGCTGATAGTGGCTAATAGGGCAGGTAGTATATACAGACAAACCCTTTTGTCTTCGTTATAGAAATAAGAGGCTTATCACGCCACCTCCCAACCAATGATTTTGCTTAGGGACGTTTCGATGTGTTTCATTACTAGAAGATTAAAATGGGGGGTACAGTTGAAGGGACTCAGTGTCTTTGCAAATTATTTGAGCATTGTGCTAGGGGATGAATCGGAACGATGTCAATTCCAATCTCACTTTGCTTATGGTCAATGCGACTGTACTTTTTCTCTTATAATTATCATTTCTTCAAAGTTTAATTGTTTACTAATTCTGTACAACACAAACTGTGTTTCAGAATTGGTCGATAAATAATGACAGCTACTCAAGGTATATAACTGAGCAGTTAAAGAATTATTTTGGTTTACTTAAGTCAGTAATGTGGGTGTCGGCGGTTTGGGTTTTCAATCCCCGGCCGCTGACGCACTCCTTTACTTCGCTAAGCTAGTATTAATAAGACTAGTAAAGAGGGAAAGTTGGACATGAAGCTGGCTAGCAACCCCATCCCGTAAAAAAATAAACACCACAGCTACCGAAACTTCACAGCCCTAGCTTGACGCCACCTTATGTTCCACTGAGAACGAAAATGGCTATCCCGAGAAATTTATCAAGAAACACATGACAAAGAAAGCGGAAAAGGACTACTCATTATCTGTTAACAAGAAGCCTCGTTATATACGACTACAATTCAAGGGCGATAAACCAAGTGAGATAATTACGAAGAAATTAAGAAAATCAGTTCAAAGAACTTTTAATGCTGGCGAACTACACGTCTTATTCTCTACACGGCCGATGGCGATTGCTCGAATGAAAGACGAAGTACCTAGACTAGCCACTTCAAATTGTATCTACCAATTCAACTGCTCTTGTAATGGAGCCAGTTATATCGGGCGTTGATCTAGGAACTTGATTTTTCGTGCTCATTCGAGAACATCTCCCACTATGGCTAAGTAAAGGTGTAGTGAAAACCATTAACAGTTCAGTATTGGACCATCTTATGCAAACCAGCCACACAGCCAGCCAGCATTGGAGAATCCTTCTCTATCATCTACCGGGTGCCTAATAAATTCCCAAAATCATCGAAGCACCGCATGCTCCAAACAGCATAGGCTATTGCGATTCGGCTCAAACAACCAGTGCTCTGTGTGCAGAAGAAGCAAGTCTAGCTAGCCCTTTCTACTGCCCTGAACGGCCTTCAGTGGAGACTATAAATTCATGGATTTACAATATTATCTTTCCTAATTTTTCTGACATTGAGCTGTAATCTATCGATATTATTGATTCGATGTTATTTAAACAACAGCATTAATGTTGTTCATAACACTAATTCATTCAGTCACTATAATGTGTATATATAACTGTAGAGCCTGATGATGAAGAGGTTATCGAAAAGAGTACTCTTTGTTCAGTATCCAATCTTTTGAAGAGAAATTAAAAAAATTTTAAAAAATAAAAAACTTGTTGCGTAATACAAAAAAGAGTTGTTGTAACGAGGACAGGTGTGAACGGCGTGAGCATAGAGACAAACTGAAATCATAGTTTATTTTACGCCTGGAGACGATAGAATCAAGGGAATAAAAAACAATGACTGAGAAGCTAAACAGTTCAAGATCCAACGTCACAGAAAGTGCCAGTAGAGATGAATACTAATGGGAATTCGAAAATAAAACATATTGCATATTATATGTGAGTAAGGAGATTAGTAAATTGTGGAACTTTTTACAGTGATCTTAAAAAAGGGCAAAAGTTACCTCTCTAAGTTGCTAGTTCTTACTGAACCGTAATCTTTTTCCCGTTATTTCGCATTCCGAGTCAATAATAAGGAGTCGAAGCCTGAACTTCGAATTCTCGTTGTTATTTTAAGGAATTGGGTTACTAGCCTCACAACCAACTTTTCCTTTTTCACCAGGCTTATTACAGGTTATGCAGGGCTTAAAAGTGCGCTGTCTGGGTGTGTTTGTCGAGGATTTTACTACTGAAGCACTGACGAACCGTGTTGTTTGGTCTCTGTTGACATGCCGGCTGCTATTGTGGACACTTCGACATTGTCTGGGAATAACACGGTAACTAGTAGTGGAATGAAAGATGAGCATTTCGTCTGGTTTAGGACTCTTGCTTGCCATCCCAATTGAGCAACAGTGTTCTTATTGACACTCGAAGTCAGTGCCTATAGTTTCAAACGCCACAGCGTTATCTACTAGGCTAATCGGGTCAAAAGAGTCACTACTTGTACAACAGGTATGAATTATTACCTGTCGGCAGATTTGCATTTGTTGGAGGATTTCATCATGAGCTGACATCAGTTAGAGAACCAAAATCACCATAGAGTACTGGACAGCCAAATATTTCGTCAACCTAGTTTGGGACTCTTCATCAATACACACCCACCGGGGTTCGAACCCAGGCTATCTCGTGATAAAATCCTCTAACCAATCAAACAAAATCCCTGCCAAACCAATAATGGCCGTATTCAGGCAGTTAACCAGGGGTTCTAGTGAGAAGCTTTGACCAGTAGGGTACATCAGGTTGAAGGTGAGGCAGTAACTCATCGAAGAACAAGATATTGCGAAATGGTCACGCTATGTCAGGAATTATCAGAAGTTAGAATTCATGGACTGGCCATTGGATTGGCGGGTCCTAGTGGCTTAATGGTCTACGAGCTAGCTTACCTTGTAACCAGAACGTCCTAGGTTGGAACCCTATCGTTGAGTGCTCACTGATTAAGAGTTGCAAACTGGGACGAAACTGCTGGCTGTCCATTACTCCCTGTGGCTGGTTTTCCAATGGTTCTCTAACTGATTTCAGCTTATGATGAAATCCTCCAACCAATGAAGCAAAATCCCTACAAAATCAATACTAGGAGATTTGCATTTCTTGGTGGATTGAAATATCGTCCCTAATTAAATATTCTTAATGTTCTTATCGTTTCGCACCTTCTATTAATTTCAGTGCCTCGTATAAATGACAATAGAAATTCCTTATGTACAGCATGTCAGCGATCAGGAGGAATATGTGTTATGAATAAGACAGATTATCCTATGAACAACTATCAAAGGTAAGTTCAATTATTCACATGGATTGACTATTGAATACAATTCAATTCAGTGAAAAAAATTTGAAATCGAAAAACATCTCTGTTTAAATTTGTTTAAATGAATGATAAATTATTTGCGAGGATAATTTAAATTGTTTGTAAACAGTTGGATAAAGTCTAAATATTGTAATCACAAGAAAGGAGAGGGGATGTCTTGAAATATCAACGTGTATTAAACAAGTTTTGAATTCTTTATAGTTAGGCTTTTGTGAATGAACTACTCGACCTCCGAATATCAATTTATGAAGAAGGCCTTTAGAAACGCTTACTGTTCGATTTTCACTATTATGGTTGAAATTTAACTGTGAAGGAAAAAAGAATTTTTCAGCTCAGATAGATGTATTTCATGTGATTGTAGTCTCTAATCTGGATCCTTCCATTTTGAAGCTTTCGTCGTCTTTTGAAGTGACATCTTTAGATTCATTTTAAACGTAAAGTGAGCTTTTGGAATTCTTCATGGATAAAGTATTCGTCTTTCCTAGTCACCTTGGCTGTGACTAAAGACTTCTTTTGGATTGTAATGACAGAAGACAAGGGACAGGCAACAAGTCGTTTATTGAGAAAATCAATAGATATTTATAGATTTTTGTGTACATTATTATTCGTTATTGTTAGCGGAGAAGCAACCTCTTCTGATTGGTTGTTTTAATGCTGAAGGTTATCCTGTACTGCTTGTGACCATTTCTTAGAAAGTTAAGCCATATATCTGCGAATCGTATTTGCACACGCTAAGTCTGCTGTGATTAGTTGTTGAGTTCCTCAAGGTTAAGCTTTGTTATTGTTTGTTTTTTCTCATGACCCCGATTCGGGACGTAAAGATTGACGTAAATTGTTGTCTACAATTTTGGCTTGCAGACAGCTCTCACCACACTTGAACTTTTGATCATACCGCCTACTGATTTGAAGAAGAAACTTTATCTGTATATTCAAAAATTCATTAGGCTTGAGTTCATCTGATTTCCGGACTTCAAGGAATTCCTGGAAATTCTTTGTGTTTCCTTTGCTAATGAATTTTACATTTACTAAGTAACTCACAATGGAAAACACAGTGAAGACATTTGAGGTGAAGATAGAAATAAGACAAAGCTGCCTAGTATTACCCACAATGATATTTCTAATTGTGGTGGACTGGATCATGCAAAAGACCATGGAGAGCGTGGGAACAGACATACGTTGGACCGACAAGAAGACTTTGGAAGATTTGAACTTCGAGGATAATTTATGTCTAATGTTACACAAACTTGTAGATCTACACCTGAGAATCAACAACTTAGCAGGATAGGTAGGAATTCAGATGAACATAGAGGAAACAGAAGTGATGAAGATATCAAACTAAAAAAAATGAGCACCAGTCACTCTCATTTGAGGGGAAAATTTCAGGGAATTGATTTCTTTCACTAACCAAGTCAGCATCACTTTATTAACTATTAGCGGCACAAATGAGGAAGTAAAAATCAATGAGGATCAGAAAAATAAAACAGGCACTCATCACTCTAAAACCAATATGGATATCGACGGCACGTAGAATGAAGATCCCAAATTTTCAAAACCAATGCTAACTGACGCATCACTAAAAGCATTTCAAACAGGTTTTCATCATCAACAGTTGCCCTCGCTTCATATTGAAAGTCAGATGACGAGAAAGGATACTCAAACAACAAGGAACTGATGTGACAGCAAACCAACCAAGAACCAATTGTACAACATGTATACGGGATATGATGGAGCAGATTTGTAGCTAAGGTGGATGATTTTGATGTAGTTGTGTTCTCTGATCTGAAGGGTGGTTTATTTGCGAAGCTTTCAATGCTTCACTCACTAGGCAACATTTTCAGCATATACTTCAGTTTGATGAAGTGGATTTTTAAATTTCCCCACTAGTTTACTAGTCATCTACCCTGGTGACTTGACCCTGAACCTCATGACTGGTTGTATTTGTGTGTTTTCACACACTCTAGGTGGCTACTTGTATTGGTATTAGTGTTGATTGTTTCCTTGACCTGAAGTTTGACCCTTTGTGTGTGCGATTTCCTTCCTTTTGATTGGTAAATTTTGTCAATGTTGATGTGTCTATTGATTGATGATTCACTGGATGTCTAATTCGAGCGAACAACCATAGGGGAATTAGAAACTCAAGTTTATAGAAAATCAACACACACAGATCAAATACTCACTTACAACAGCAAAAATATGATAACACACAAAAGGAGTTGTATACAAACACTATTCAAGAGGGTAAGCTAGGACTCATTGCAGTACTCCTCCCTACCTTCAGCAAAATTGAAGAAAGATATCTCATGGATGTCTTTTAAAAGAATGGATATCCACGGAACTTCGTCAAAAGACATCTACCTCCATGCCAACCTATCAAATCAAACCAAAGGCCCCCGAGGAAAGCAAAAAGCTAATCGCCCTACCTAATATGAAAGACATCCCAGAAATCACTACAAGACTCTTCAAACCTTCCTTTAGGAATTGATGTCGCACACAAACCAACAAAATCACTTCACTCAGCTGGGTCTGTGTCAACCAAAAGACTCAACAACGAAAGAAGATAAAACCAACATCATTTACGAAATAAGTTTCAATGACTGCGAAAAACACAGTTGGCCAAAGTGGACTCCCTTCCTCTTTGTCTTCGTATCCACGAACATAAGCTAGCCGTCAAAAGACATGATATCCTTTCCATCATATCGCCTCACTACATACAGACAACCATGGGCATCAATTCGATTGGGACAATGTTCAAATATTAGACAAAGGAAACAACAAGAATGCTAGAGAAGTTTTAGAAGCCAGCCTGGTATTCCAGTGAATCGTGAATCATTAGACACACTGACACAGACCAAATTTACCAATCGATAAGAAGGAAATCTCACACACAAAGTATCAAAGTTCAAGTCAAGGAAACAATCAGTAGCAATACAAGTAGCCTAGAGAATGTGAAAACACACAAATACAACCAATCACTTCCAATGTCATCAGGAGAGATGACTAATAAACTCATGGAGAAATCTTAAAGCTCACTTCAACACAGTATGCGTATTAGTGGACAATGAAAGCTTTGCAAATAGACCACCCTTCAGCTAAGAGAACACAACTACATCAAAATATATGCAGGAGGAAATACAGATAGGTGGGACCGTTGACTAACATCATGCACCAGGCCCTCGAATGGAGCCTGAATGTGAAATGATGAGTTTATCGTGAAGCCAGCTGAAGAAGCCTACACAGAAGATAGTGAAGTAGTGATGTGTTACTGAAGCCTTATGTTCACTATGAAGCCAAAGTGGTAATGGAAACAATATGGAAAAAAAATTGCATGTTATTGGTTTGCATAATACTAAGGCAAAGGATTCATCCCATTTTCATATATGCAGCACAATCATTCATTAGTTGATGTGTTCATAACGATTGTTTTGCAAAGTGTTATTTTTTTCCTCACAGTGAACTTCAGTGTGCATGTCCCAGAAGAAGAATACTGTCGAGAAAAGTGGAGCTTTCTTCCTTCCACCTATGTCATTTGACTGCAGGTAAGATTCATTTCATAACATTTGATTATCAGCAGTGTTAACACAATCTTCGACTAAGTGATACTTATAGAAATTTAAATTATGTTAATTACTATGTAGATTTAATTGATAACCCATATCAGTCAGAGATCAGCGGTAACCAGGGAGAACTGTACAGCTGATTTGTCCTAGCTTGAGATTCCTCAGCATTGTACACCCACGAACTCATCACGGATCGAACACACAGTATATCATGAATCAACAGAGTTTGAATTTACAGGTTATTGGATCTCGGGCAACATGATTAAGTGGTCAACGTCCCTGAACTTCTCAGATTCGATCCCTGGCGGTCCCAAAACTAAGAAAAAATGGCTGATGCATTTTCCCTACTTCTCAGTTATCTCTCTAAGTGATGTTGATGCGTGACAAAATCTAAACTGGACTCAATCTAAATCCCTACAAAATACCATAGTATAAGAATAACTTTAAGGGACAAGATGGTTTGGGCATCGTTGGTGCAACAGTAGAATGTTCACAAACCACGCCGCAATTGGTTCGGGGATCGATCCACGGTCACCGACGCACTCCTTCACCTCGTTAAGCCAGTAATAAGACTGGTAGAGAGGGAAGGTTGGGCTAAGTGAGACTAGCAACCCCCATCCTGTAAAAATAACCATCACTGCTACAGAAACTTCAAGCCTCTAGCTAGAAGCCGTCCTATATTCCACTGGGAATGTAAAGGAATATAATAAACAACTAATACAAGAAAGTTTGAGGGGAACTCTTTCAGATGTGGCGTTCTATGATTTCCCACTCGCTATTTCTCAAAGTTTAGTAACATTTCACAATCTTTCAGACTAAAGACTTGATAAAGGAATGTTTATACGCCATTGGGTATCACTATATTAGCGAAATTATGTACAACACCTTATGTTCAACGCACCATTTGAACAGATCTTCCGTGTTGTGCGACTTCTCGCCTTCCTTCATCATATTGTGTGTGTTTCTTTGTGTTCCTTTTACTCACATCTCCCATGTATCTCTGAAACGCTGTATCATTTGCTATCTCTGACATCGAATCTATCTCCCTGCTATTTGATGTTTTTATCCCGATGAATGTCTCTTTTTATATACTACTGATAAATCTTATAAATAGCACACGCCCCAACACGAATCGTTGAAATACAAATGATATTATTATCGTTCCCTTGGGTTCCTAGTGGAACATAGGGCTTCAACGACACGTCTCCACTTGATTCTGTCTTCTGCTGTACTTTTCACTTGCATCCATGTTAGTCCAGACAGTTTCAGCTATTCTTCACACGATCTCCTCCATGTCACCCTGGCACCGATGAACCACTCGCCGCTTCCCTTTCGGGTTTCACTCGAGCATTGACCTGACGCGCGATGTCACCCAACGGCCTCCTCAGCGAGTGTCCAGTCTATCTCCACTTTCTCCTGCATATTTGTTGGGCGATTGGTTCTTGTTTTGTTTGTTCCCATAGTTTCTTGTTTGTGATTCTTTCCGGCCATCTGATCTTCAGTGAAGAGCGAAGACAGTTGTTGATAAAGGTCTGCAACAGGCTGTTGGAAATATCCTTTGTGACACACTGGCCAAGTTTCTGATCCGTATAGCAAAACTGACTGACTTGACGTTTGTATTGAAAATCCGAATCACTTTGTTGTTGATGCAGGCTGAGTGACGAAGATTTCCAGATTGGTTTCAGGTTGATGAATGTGTTTCTCGCCTTCCCGATTCTCGATTTGACATCCTCGTCCGTTCCATGTGCCTGTAGTTGAGACAATGCTCCCTAGATAAGTGAAGTTAAAGAAGTAACCTCTTTCAAATTCCTACCGTTGATGGTGATTGGCGCTGGATGTTGCTGCTGTTGTTGTTGTTGGTTGGTTATTTTCACAACCTCCGTCTTCTCTATGTTCACCTGGAGTCCTGTCTTCTCTGGCTGCTTCTTCGACCAGTTTGTCGGTTTCCGCTTGTAAGTCTTCTATTTTGTGTGACATCAAACATAAATCATCCACACGCGAAATCCAGGTCTTCTAGGTTATTCACGTTGGTCCAGGATATCTCTGTCTTCTCGTTTCCCACTGTCTGACGCATAATCCAGTCGTGCACCACAATTAGGATTATCACTGGTGATAATCGGCTAGGATCCTTGTCTGACTCCTGTGTTTACTCCAAACGCCTCGCTGAGTTTTCCGTTGTGGTTCACTTGACATGTGTCGTTGTCGTACAGCTGTTGAATAAGGTTGATATTTTTTCTTAATAACATTCTTTAAAATGGAGTTATGATAAGAGTGTTCATTTTCTGATCAGTGACTCTGTAATTTTTGTGTCAAATGAATATTTAACCTTAATAATCTCATAAAGTGAACACCACTCATTATTGTTAAGTATCACTTGATTTCTTGCCTAGCTGATATCGGTGAAGAATGTGATATCCAAGGACGTACATGTTTAAGTCAAAATGCTGTTTGTGTGCAAACTACAATTCAACAGTCAACTGACAACACATTACAGCTGACAAGAAATAAAACTGTCAACATTTGTCAATGCGTTGATGGTATGATTCCTGTTTACCAGAATAATTTGGATTATTTTGAATGCTGTGAGTAATAATTTTTTGAATTTTTTTTAACTTAATTTTTCTTTTTGTTATTTTTCCTCAAGTGTAAGACTATGTGCTCAAAAATAACACAGTTTTCTGAATTCAACAATGAAGGATCTCGCTGGAGATCTTGGATGTTACGATAAGTCTTTGCTACTGAGTACTCACATAGGATATCTTGCTGAAAAATTCTTCCTAATATCACAAGAGAAGGATTATTATTATTCCCTTAGATTCCAAGTGGAAGATAGGACTTCAACGGCATGTCTCTGTTTCGGTTCTCTTTAACAGGTTTTAGGAGTGCTCAGGAGGAGAATGACAACAGTTTTCCACGACATAGTCGAATTACTATTTCATAAAGTTGACAAATAGATTTTGCAGAAACGTCATACATCTATTTCCTTTTATGAATTTGAATAAAGCAAGAACAACAGTTCGAAATGGTATCATGACTTGTTTCGTTAGATTCTCATCAACTGCTTACAGCCGAAAGACATTATTAAGTTTATGTACAGAAATAGTATTACTCTTTGGTGTAATCGAAAATCGACAGATACTCCCTTCTCATGTTAACTCTAATTGTGTACACAAATTTGCGTTTATCTGCGGTGGCAGCCACTTAAATTGGGGGAACAGAAAGAAAGGCACACCTCCGATTTTCTGAACACGTACCAAAGAGTTTTCGTCTCAAAGGAACAAACGCTTTCATCAGTAGTGCCATTGCTAGGCATTTTCTTGATATGGGTCAAGAGGTGGACATCATCAGTAAACAGAAGGACTCAATTCTCCCCAAGTTTGCTGAAACAATCTTCATCAAACGTCTGATGTCTGATTTATGTGCTCAGAAAGAAGCAATTAGTTGTTAGTCTCTCCTCGCCCTGGTAACTGGATGCCATTATTCTCTCCCCTTCATTTGATAACGTAAAACTGAGAATTCTATTCTGTATGACTGGTATTGTTTGGAATAATGTGACCATTATTATTGCCATTGTATGCATATATTGATTTTTTGTTTAAGCTTGAACTCACTGAGTATGTTAAAATTGTTTCTGTAGATAAACTTAATAATATATTTAGGCTGTGAGTGGCTGATGAGGAGCCAGCGGACGAAATAAACGATTGTACCATATTATTCCGCAAAAAATTTGCAATGTTTTCTTTATCCAAGAGATTACGGTGTTGACACATAATTTTTCATGCTCATCTATGCAAACAGTTTATGAAGAGAAACAATTCAGTCAAGACCATCAAAAACTATATGAGTATTTCATGTTTTCTTTTGTTCTTTCCAGTATTCAATCCATGTTGCTTAGTAAGCCTATAGACCAGTAGAGTAGTTTACAGTAGGTTAGGTTACAGTAGGTCCGGTGTAAGGACAAATATTCGCCAGCGATGGCATTCCCTAGTGTCAATTGCGCCATAACGTGAATTGGCAGAAATTAGAATTCGTGGGCTGGTCACTGGATCGCATCCCGGTGGTTTAGTGTTTTGCTAGCTGGGTTCAAACTCTGGCAGTGGACGCGTCCCGAAGAAGAAGAGTCTCAATCTAGGACGAGACAGCTGTCTAATACTCCCGCGTTTTCTAATGGTTCTCTACCTTATGTCAGCTCATGATGAAATCCTATAACCAGTCAAATCCCTGGAAGTTAATATTTGAATATAAACATTCAGCTGATTGATGTAAATGAGCAGCCAATCATGACAAAATTTGTCAGGAAATAGAGTTACATAATCTCCCTTTTTACTCCTCCGCGTTCCAACTGTTCGAACAGGGCTTCAAATGTGAGCTTTAAAATTGTAATAGCGGTGGTGTTTTTTACAGGGTCTCATGGTTGCTTTACGTCCAACCTTCCTTCTCCATCAGGCTTACTACTGGCTAAGCAAGGATGTGGAGTACACGGGCCTTGAATTGAATCCGGACCATGCGTGTTTTTGTGACTGGCGAGTACCCTACTACTGAACCAGAAACACAGCCGGTCATTCAAGGATAATTCAAATAATTACACTTCATACTTAAACTTGCGCTGAAGGTGTTGTCTAGAAGGATAGGGAAAGTTTCGAAAATATATCATCCAGCTCACAGAACACAAGTTCCGTTATCTACTATGGTTAGTTGAGAAACTTTATTACACTATTGGAGAAGGGGGAATACACTCATCGGTCTTAACATCGCTTTACTATGATTGGCTCTTCAAGGTTGACTGGTAGGTACTTAATGGTAGCTGCTAGCTTTGCCAAAGACGACATATTTATCAGGAATCCTTGAACTAAACTAAATTGGAGTAATTTTTAGTTCCACAGAAAAGGATCACTCATTGAACAACAATCGGCAAGAGGAGTGGACGCACCAATGATTTTAGAAAGAGGAATTACGCTAGAAAGCCGATTCTGGCACTAAACCATAGTCGTTCCTTAACCTAATATATGAACAACCCAACTCAAATCTGTCCCTAACCAACCCCAGTCTCTCCCTTAATTTTTTTCCAATTCCTGTGTGTTTCAAGTGGAACTTAAGGCATCAAGTTTAGGCATTGAACTTTCAGTAGTGGTTATGCTTTATTCTGCAGGATGAGGATATTAGCCTCACACTAAATCTTCCCTCTTTACCGAGATTACTATCGGTTAAGCGAGGTTTGGTAGTGCATCGGCCCTGACCTGTCTCTAACTGAAAGCTAACCTAAAACTAACCATATATCCTATATAAAAAATTATATTTGTAAAATCTCAGCGAAATTGAAATGATTAATTCCAACGTTTCCTGAGTTCGGCAATCTGGTCCAAACTTCTTCAGGGAAATTAATCGAAATTAACATAACAGAGGTTTTTGTTATAAAAATGACATCTCTTGTTTTCAAAAATCTTTGTCCAATCATATGATTCATGAAACAGGCATCAACATGTATAATAAACAAAATTGTATGAACTGTGATCAAAATTTGACTTCAGACTTTCAAAAATTAGAAGACAAATTTCGCGAGATGATATCATTTCGTAGTTTCTTCTACAACCGCTTTACAACTTACATGGTTGGTTAACAATAATAAAATAAAATAAAGTTCATGACAATTACTCAGTTAAATAAAAAACAAAAGTACACACTAGTGACCAATCATATTTAAATAGGTCATGTTGTCTATGGTAGGCGAAGGTTGAAGTCTATTGTTTGCTTTTTGTACACACAGTTTAGACTGTATGTGATTAATCCCCCAAAGTGCTTCCATCACCTTTAATAACCGACCTTGAATTAGAGTTATGTGATGAAATAATTGTGAAACAGTCATTAATATTGATTTTGTGGTCTGACATTAATAAGTGTTTTGCAATGGATATTGATGATGGATTTCTATTCAGATTAATAATTGCATTGGGATTTTCTTTATGTTTTAATAAGCATTTTGGAACATGTTCTTTTCCACGACCACATTGGAACATTCTATTGGTTCTACCTGTATAGTTGTGTGTCACTACAACTGTAGGTGAACTTGTAGATACAGTTTGAAGTAGAGTCCACAGAATTTCGTCCTTTAATCGTAGGAACAGGGATCGAAAATGTTCGGCATGTGAGAAAAACAGATGTGGCGTTGTAGAATGTGCGTTCGATGGCTGACAGAAGTCTTTGACCTAACTGTCAACTGCATAATTTGTTCACCCTTGAATGGTAGGTTAATAAAGACAACTTTCTTTGGTACAGAAGCTGTCTTTTCTAGATGTGGTCTATCCTTACTGTGACAATTGATAAAGTAAGTTTTCAGGATAACCATTAGCTAATAAAACTGAATGCATATGTCAATGTCATCCATCAATGTGTCACTTGCGCATATTTTTCGGGCGTTTGAGAACAAACATTGAACAAGAGGACGTTTATACTGAGTAATTGTCATGAACTTTATTTTATTATTGTTAACCATGTTAGTTGAAAAGCGGTTGTCAAGACCCTCCGAAATGATGCCATCATCTCGCGAAATTTGTTTTCTAAATACCTTATTCAAATTTATCAAAGGGACTAATTGTTTTAATTTCAAAAATTAGTCTGCTTTTGTTAACCAATTTAAACAGAGTGTACTTTTCATCAGATTACGTTTGACTAAAAGTTCATGATCGTAGATAACTGAATTCAAAAAATATATACCTGCGTATATGGATTATACAATGGTATGTGTGTGTGTGTGTGGGTAAACAGTCATAAGAAGATATAGACAATCGGGAATTTTCATTATAATAAAGATTTTCATATTTCCCAATGATTGAAAAACAAAACGATATTGTTTTTACTGACGTTTCGTTATTTAATGCTAATAGCTTTGTCAAAGTATTATAATACTCGGGAATTTTGACCAAGTATGGTTATTTGTTGACACATATCCATTTTTTATTTATTAATCAGGATTTGCCGTGCAACAGCTAACATCACACCTTCACGTCTCTTCAAACTGTTGGGATTCACCCATATATGTAGGGCTTCCGCAGTCAGTCTTTCTTTATACGAACCAAAACCTTTCTGTAGAACCTTAGTCCTATCAAAGTTGACTTTATGTCCCGTTTCTGTCGAATGCAGTGCAATCACCGATCTGTTTTCTAGCTTCTTCAAATCCGCAGAGGTATTTGGAACCACTTTTAGACATTGTTTATGCTGTTTCACTCTTATATTTACCTGTTTGGAAGTTTCTCCTACATATACGGCGTCACAGTCCCCACAATTCTGTTGGTTTTCTTCTATTTTATCCTTAACCTTCACCAGTGATGAGCGTAAGGTGTTAGTTGCACGAAAATACACTCTTATGTTGTCATGATCGTTAAGGATTCGCTTTATCTTATTCGACGCTTATTTGAGATAAAGAATCACCGCTGAACTAGCCCAATTCTTAGCAACAGGTTTCGATCCATCCTTATCTTCACATTTTAAGTATCTATTTATGAAGGTTTTTGGATAATTATTTGATTCAAGAGTGGATTGAACCACATATCCTGTGTCGTATCATTGCATTTCATTTGTCATTTTT